ATCATCTATTCGAATGTACTTATTTAGGCTATAAGAGTGTCATAGAATGGAATTCCAAATATGACAGAATCTAACTGTATTAGAAATGCATGGAAAAACCTCACAGTAGGGGATGGGGCAAAAGATGCTGACCTAAGTGAACTTTAGCAATGAACAGACTCTCTGAACTAAAGGCAAGATGGACCATACCTAAGCAGTAGGCTTTGTTTGATGGAGTCCTTTCCAGAGTGTGAAAGTGAAAGCCACTCAGTCGCGTCTGACTCGTTGTGGCCCCTTTGACTGTATAGTCCACGGAGCTCTCCAGGCCAGAACACTGGAGTGGTAGCCTTCCCCTCCTCCAGGGCCTCTTCCCAACCCAGGGATTGAACCCAGGTCTCCCGCATTGCAGGTGCATACTTTACCAGCTGAGCCACAAGGGAAGTGTAGTAGCTGACACTTCTGAAACCACTGTTTATGTCATCTGGGAAGGTCCCATGCACAGATAAATGGCAGATGGTGGAAACCTGGTTCCTGCCTGTGGGAGTGGCAGTTATAGAGAAGCAAGGGGACAAAAGAGACATAGAGAAACCCTCCACATCCTGGATCTAGACTTCCTGGGAGGATGGTGTGGGGAGTCGACGACCTGGGGAAATGCACAGATCTTCATACCTGGAGTGCCATGCAGATGGAGTAACCTCACACCCCATCCTTCCACCCACACTAGCTGGAAATGAGGCAGAAGAGAGATAGGCCCCAGGCTGAGAACCTGCAGGCTCTCCCATGTGGACAGATACAGTAAGATGAAGACAATAGCAGGAGGGAATAGGACCTGATCCCTGTTCAGAGAACTGATGAAAGACCATAGAGTCCTCATTCTCAGGGTCAAGGAGACCTGCTCGACTACACAGGTGCAGAAAAGCTCCCCAGGGTCAAAGGACGAGAGGGCGCCACCCTACAGTCAGTAAGTGACATCAAATCCCCTTAGGCTTCCTTGCGAGAACCTGGCTTGGCTAAGTGATGCCTACACATGGGAAGGAACCTGAGAGAAACCAAATACAGACTCAGAACCAGACAGAGCAAGACGATGGGCCAGAGGAAACCTGAAAGAAACACTGCATGGAAGTGATCTAAGCCACCGGAATGGGGAAATCTCTTTCTGAGCGCACAGTTTTGTCTATTCACACAGACGGTCTTTCCACTTAATAAACACTTTAACTTGTTTCAATCCTTTCTGCTTCTTTGTGGAAATTCATTTCTACAAAGCCACTCAGCCAGGGCCTTGTCACTGTAGTAGCTAACACAAGGGAAGCGTAAGCTTACTACTTCTGTATGGCATTCCAGGTATGAAGGTCTGTGCATTTCCCCAGGTAGTCAACTCCCCACACCATCCTCCCAGGAAGCCTAAATCTAGGATGTGGAGGGCTTATCTGTATATCTTATCTCCCCTTCCTTATCCATCACTTCCACTCCCACAGTGAGAACCAGGCTCCCACCATCTGCCATTTCTTTGTGCATTGTATCTTTCCAGATTACATACACAGTGGTTTCAGAAGGGTCAGCTACTACAGTTCCCTTGTGGCTCAGCTCGTAAAGAATCCGCCTGCAGTGTGGGAGACCTGGGTTCAATCCCTGGGGTGGGAAGATCCCCTGGAGAAGGGAAAGGCTACCCACTCCAGTATTCTTGCCTGGAGAACTCCTTGGACTATCCATAGGGTCACAAAGAGTCAGACATAACTGAGTGACTTTCACTTTCACACTCTGGACAGAACTCCATAAAACAAAGCCTACTGCTTAGGTATGGTCCATTTTGCCTTTAGTCTAGAGAGTCTCTTCATTTCTAAAGTTCATTTAGGTCAGCACCTTTTCCCCATCCCCTATGGTGAAGTTTTTCCATGCATTTCTAATACAGTTCGATTCTGTTGCATTTGGCATTCCATTCTGTGCACTCCTATAGCCTAAAAAAGGAAATTTGAATAGATCATGATTGACCCCTTGGACTATATGAATTGATAGTTTAGCAAACGCATATTTACAGGAATCCATCTGAAGGATCACTTCAAATTCCCCACCCCAGGATCTCTTTTAACATCTGTGTAGATTTGCCTTTCCAAGAACGTCATCAATGGGGGTCATACTGTACTCAGCCTCTTCAGACTGCATTCTTTCACTTAGCCATATGCATCTAACATATATCCCTGTCTTTCAAGGGCTGACTTTTCACTCCTGTCCTCTGTTGAGTATTATTCCTTTGCATGTGTATAGGAGGAAAAACAATTTCCCTCGGCCCTTTTGGTTCTTGGTTGAGCCTTTCTTCTCCATAATTAAAGCCAAAATATCAGGGGAGAAACAGAAGTTTAATAACATATATATCTTGCATATGGGGAAGATGCCAAGGAAACTGAGTCACTTCCTGCAGTGACCAAAGCCATCACCATAAATACCATCTTCAGCTAAAAACATAGCAAAGACCTTGGGAGAAGCGGGGAGGCCAGTTTTGGCAGGTTATCATGGAAAGCACAGTAAACAAGCATATGATTCTCTGCAGACTTATGCCGGGACCTCTTCACTGAGAAGAGTTCCTTCAGATGTAACTATCCTATTTCAGGTGCAAGGAGGGACACACCCTTACAAACAGAGACTTCCCTACTAAACGTAAATGGAACTCACAAAAGGGCAACCTCGGGCTCCCCTGGTGGTCTACCGGTTAAGGAGCTGCCTGCTAATGCATGGGACACGGGTTTGATTCTTTGTCCAGGCGTATCTCACATGCCTCAGAGGAGCTAAACTCATGCAGCACACGTACTGAGCCAGCACTCTACAGCCTGGGAGTCACAACTCCTGAACACGTGCACCAAACGACTGAAGCCTG